CACGGGGACAAGGGATTTTGGACGATAAGTATTTTGTATCTTAATATTTGGTCTAGGATTGTGGTTAACACTTCTACTCTAATTTCGACAGTGTTACGTTTTACTTCTCTCAGGGTTTCTACTTAAGCGAAGACTTCTACACTACTATCGGGACAGAATTTATGGGTTTACTTAAGAACAATTTGGGACAATGTGAAGGAACAACTTCTACTACAATGATTTCGAAGTTTTTAAACTCTAATGAGTTGTTTTTTATTCAAGACCCTTATATAGTGAATTTTACAGAACAAAAGTAAGCGAATTCACTCTCTTACTTTACTTACTTCCCTTCTCTTACTTTCCTTACTTCCTTACTTCACTTACTTTCCTTACTTCACTTACCATTCTATAAAAGGAAATTCACTAACAGCATAACTACAAATATACATATAATGAAGAATCTATACTATAAAAAGAAAAAGGTGGCCCGATTTTGGGAGGGTGACACTAATTTTAACCGTCACAACGTACAAGATATAAATACAGTCAGACCTCTCTAAATGCATTGCGACGGGACCATATGTAAAAAATGAGTCAACCGTGCATTTAGAGAGGTACTGCATTTAGGGAGGTAAAAATCTATAAGTGTTATATTAGTTGGGCCCAAGAGAAGGCCTGCATTTAGGGAGGTTTTTCATAGGCGTGCATTTAGGGAGGGTGCATTTAGGGAGGTCTGACTGTATAGTATATGTGATGCATTTCATGATGTTTAAGCACAAATATTCCCGTTTTTACTGCATTTAGCACATTGCCCAATCATCACCTAGCTTGCTATAGTAACCATATATATCTGTATATTATGTAATAAATTCGAATTATTGTGATAAATCCGAATGTATCACGTGAGAAATTCGATTTTGGCACGTCGGCTCCATCGGTTTGGCTTGGCTTATCGAGCCAAGTTGAGCCGGCTTAAGCCGATTCCATCCCTAAGCCCTGAACGTTATTTCATAATGCGCATGCGCGATAATTCAGATCTTGAAATTTCGAAATAACGCCTATGTGCGTTATTACGCGTTTATACGGTAAAAAAAAAAAAATCTGAAGATACTTAATGATGCTTAGAGCAAATATAAATGCTTTTTTTCATTCTATGAAGCTGCATTATTGATATAATTTATAGCAGCACACAGAAAATCAAATTCAATATCCGGATTACAAATATTAATAACGATGTTTAACGGAATAAACAAATGTATATTTAAGTATTAAAGAACACGGTTTAAATTTTTACATTGTACAAATGAGAATATAACAAAACAATTTACTTAAAATACAGAATATAGCTTAAAAGAAAATAGAACTAATTTAATATTATGCGATAATATACAGATTTTTATGCACTTGTAATTCTTTCAAATTTGTTAATGACTGCGAATACTCTTTCTTTTTTTATCTTACGTCAATTTCTCTTTATTCATTATGCAAAAGTATTTGAACTGGAATTGTGAGCATTTTTATAATTGCATACAAAATTTTTCAATGCAGTTTTTATGGATTTTCTATCGCATCTTTTACAAATGTTTCAATATTAAAACTGTCTTCGGTTTCATTATTATTTTTTACTACAGAATTATATGTAAATAAAATATTACTCATATTTAACAAAGACCACAACTCTTCAGTTTTGGAGATCATTTTTATTCGAAAATAATTTGAATCCAGAAGTTGTTTTTTTAACAATAAAAAATTTATATTGATATAACGATATCATTTTTTATTAATTCTGAGTTCGGAGTTAACGTAACCTGTTCCGGATTTTCTATGTACAGTACTTTATAGCATCAATAAGTGGTCATTCATTCATTGACCGGTGGAAATTCAAAAATGATACATGTTGATTCCAAATTTAACGGGAATCAATAAACGACACATAATAAGTTTAATATATTAATAGTATTTACTCGAAGGCTTAATTTGTGTCCGTCAATAAATTTTGAATTAAGAAGGGATTTGAAAATTATATTGTGTAAGGGTCAAAAAATTCTCACTAATCGTCAAAAAGCGGTTCCGGTACTGATTGACTTACTAGAAATGTGGTTGAGAATTAGTTAGTTTAACTAGCTTTATAAATACATTATGACTCTCGATATAGACTAATTAAAAATACAGAAAATATAAATGAAATAAATAGATTTCCAAGAGACAAGTGATAATAAAGTCATAATAAATTTGATTATTGAACTATCCATTACAACTCGTGATCACTGTACATTAAATTACAATTTTAAGGACAGCGCCTTGAATGATAATACTGTATTCTTACCTAGATTTACCGGTTTATTTACTGGTTTAGGGAGGTTTTGAAACTTTAAAAGCCGACTTGTGTAAATAGCCTGCGGATGTGTCCGATAACTGATTCTTGCCGAATTGATTTGATTATATATTGAGGGATTTTCGCCTGAGTCTTTAATTTCTTTAACTTGTTTATATAATTCGGTTTTTTCATATTTTAAGTCATCATAAGATTGCATCAACTTTTTAGACAATTCCTCAGCAGTTGGTCTGTTATGAGGTTCAGCATCTAAACATTTATTCATTAAATCCAAAAGTGATTGAGGAACTTTACATTCGATTTTAGGTCTATAACCTTGACAAATGGATAGTACTAGTTGATAATCATGTGGAGTATCATAATATGGAGGATATCCAGTAAAAACTTCTGACATAATTATTCCGAAAGAATAAATATCTGATTTTTGAGTGTATTCCTTTCCATTTGTAAATAATACTTCTGGCGCAATATAGGGAAGTACACCGAAGAATTCTTTGGAATTTGAGTCATGTGATACTGGCTTACATAAACCAAAATCAGTAATGTAAGGATCAACCATATTTTGATTAACTATATTTCCGGAATGAAAATCTTTATGCACTAAGTTGGCTTCGTGAATTTTATAAAGCCCATTAGCTATGTAAAATAAGTTGGTTACTTTAGAAGTCCAATCTAATTCATTATATCTACTATCTAATAATTTTCGAAGGCTTCCTTGCTTTGCATACTCCATAACCATCATGTAATTATCATCTTTTGGGTTTTTAGTTATTCCATAAATCTGAATTGCCGAATCGCTCCCATGTTTATGTTGATTTTCAACCTAAAATATTAGAATAGATAAGATTATCGCACTTTAATAATAACAAACTATATAAAGCTTACTTCTTTTAAAAATTCTTGATTTATATCTTTAGAGTTATCAAGACTTTTTAAACAAACATTTAATCTCGACCTTCTCGCCAATTCATTCTTCTCCTGATCGAGTCCTATAATATATCCGTCAATCCATACTGCTTTAAAAACGGTGCCAAAGCCTCCTTTAGAAAGATACTTTATATTTGTAAATTTACTGAAAGGTATCCATTCAATAACGTCTTTAAGCTTCACTGCATCTAGTTGTGTTTGTTAAATTAAATGGTCAATGTCACGATTGCCACTTGCCCAATTATGGAAATTTTCTCTAAATCTTAATATTAAAAAATAATAAATCACATACAATCATACACAATTACAAACAATCATGTACAATCGATTGCAATCGTGCAGCGATCTACGAATTCGATCAAAATGTACAAACCGTGAGAATAGAACAAAAAATATTTTTATATGATAATATTTTTAACATATATTTAACATATATTTATCATATAATAACATTAGTAATATTGTAATTATATTGTAGCGATATTGTAGCAATATTGTAAACGTAGTTATCAAAATCGAAGGTTCTGCAAAAGATATCATTAACTAGTCTTAATTTTTAATGCATTCTAGATGATTGTTAAGCATAAACTTTCGAAATTTTCACACAAAATTTGCAATGAATTGTTAATTTTATTAAGTCAAAAAAGATGTCCCCTCTCGCAGATCCATGGCATTGAAAAATATGCAGATGCTATACCATATAAATGGTATACATCCTTATTTGATTCCGCTCCCTGGATAATAGCATCAAATAATGGGGACATCAGTTTTTCTAAATAATTACATGTTGCTTGCTCCCCACAGGCAATATAGTATGTACCGATATAGGCTTCAAATGCGTCTGCATGAAGCTTTTTAATTTCTAAAAATTCCATACGATTAAGCTTATGCAGACCCGTTGTAATGGCATATGCTGCCAAAACCTTATTGGTAGCCATTGCCATTACGCCTAACACGATTGTTTCTATTGAATATTTAATGAGATATTTCCCTTTTGCAATTTTTAGGAGACAGTGCTCGAGTACACTGTCTCCTAGATATTCAAACATCTCCCATTGAGGCCGGTATTTAACATAACCAGTAGCTAATTCTGCAAAAAGTGAGGCCTCAATGGGAGGAATGGCCTCAAGATCAGTTCTTAAATTTTCTATCGCTTAACGATTAAGAAAAACATTAATTTATTTAATTGTACTAAAAACCCAATTAATTATAAAATTAAATTTTTATAATTACATAATTTTGCAATGATTTTGGACTTTTTATTTCCACACTTTTTTTCGTAGCATTTTACTTGATCCTTTGCGCTGAGTTTATTGTTATTTTCCTCTTGTGTATATTTATTACACAGATCAGCCGATTTTTGCTTCCAATCTTTTGCTATTTCATTCTAATTAAAAGCAGGTGTTTATATATTATCATGATTTTTTTTTAATATTTTAAAGTTTTAAAGTTTGATTATTAAAAATAATTACATTTTCTTTCTGCTCTTTCACCAAAATATTTAATTTCTCCACAGGATTAGCTATTGATTTTTCTGCAGCTTTCTCACAAAATTGTTTAGGTTGTTTTTGCGATGACTTAAGCAAATTTCTAGGTAGAAATGCTGTCGTATTTAAATGATTGAGTGTATTTAAATGTTTGGTCGATTCGAGCATTGATGTATTTACACATCCAAGGGACCCAGGCATTGGAGAATTTAAATGATTAGGTGATTTAAATGTTGTCAGTGCAGAATTGGAAGTTTTTATTTTCTTGGACGTCTTCTTGCTAAAATCGGTTTCTTTACCCTGAATTAAAAGAGGTTAATTTAATGTCATGTACATATGGTTAATTCTAATATTATAATAGTAAATATAGCATACCTTCTTTCTTTTTTTATTTCCTATACCATTGCATATTCCATTGTTTGAAGTTCCTGCATGTACAGACGATTCTTCAATAAAAATTAAGCTCCGGCTATGAGATAAGTGATGCATCGTTGGTATGTGAGATGCCAAAGGATTGCTACTGTTTAATCCACTTGCTGTTGGTTTTATTTTAGAATGTATTGATGGAGGTGGTGTCATTTTATTTTCATTGTTTGACGATGAATTAACCATTATGGAGGTTCTAGAACTGCTCCCACGATCAACTTGAGAAGGATCAGATATGTTTATTGAATTAAATAATAATGTGTCACATTAATTTTTTTAAAAATGTGTGATTAACAATATAGCGAATATTTTTGTTTTAAAAAAGCGTGATCAATGAATGATTTTATATGTCAATATGAAAATCAAAGCACATAGAATTCTGACTTTTAAAAATCACATCTTTAAAAACAGCTATGTTTAAATTTTATCATGCACAACTTGGAAAAGATTTTGTAAAAAAAAAATAAGGCGCGTATAATTACCTAGTTTTACTTTTTTATTAGCATCGTTTTCACGCTTAGACTCGACTTCAATATTAAAATCATTTGACAAATTGTTGCTTGCGTTATTAAAAAAGTGCTGTATATCATTAATAAATGAATTGTCATGATCATTTTCATGCACTGGAGGTTCTTTATGGATCCACTCTTGAGTCGTTTTAAGAACGCGTCTTAATTTATTTAAAGTTCGCTCTTGTCTTGAAGAAAATTTTAGCGTTTTATGATTCATTTTAAGAAACGGTAAATTGTAAATAATTTTAACTGTTGTTTTTTATATGCGTGTCACCAAGGGACATATCAGATGCTTGTATGATTGGTTGTTAAAATACCCCGGAAAAAATGGTGATCATGCCCCGAATAGAATATCGGCTATACTCGGATGAAGTTTTTATTATTCGCAAAATTTAGTCAATACCCTCTAAAGACGCATATGATAATTTTACAATACAATACTGTAATTTGGTTTCATAATAACTACATTAATTTAGATTTTACAATGTGCGTATAATTTTTTCGTAATAAATCTATGTATACGGCTGAGGCAGAATCACTTGTCAATTCTGACCTTTTAAAATATTCACCTCTCGCTAGCTTTTAAAGCTACTGCAACTTTTTTGATACATCTAGATGTACAGAACTTATGTTTTTTAATACTTCTGAACTTACTTTTTTTGATAAACTAGATGTACCCCAAATTTTTGGTACTCTTTTGAGATACGTATGACGATTTTAAAAATCACGTGAACACCGTACTTAAAATCGTCCAATGATATCACAGGTAACATTTTAAAAAATCAAAATTGAAGACTTCTATTGATGATTTCTCAATAACTACTTAATCAAATTCGGCAAACTTTTTATTTTAATTATATAATTTCTAGAAGTAAAATAAAAAAAAGTTCATCAAATTTGGTTTGTAGTTGTCGAGGAAAAAAAATACTCTAAATTAGAGTTGTTAGGCGAAACCTAGAGGTTTCGCGCTGACGAAACGCGAAACCTAGTTTCGACTTTCGTCAATTTGA